GTAAATAGGGGCAAGTACGAAAAATATAAGCAACGTCTCCAAAAAGACTTGTTTTCGAACACGGCACCATTATTTGATGTGGATAACATATATTTAATGCCCCATTGTGTTTTGAAGCAAAATGGTACACGTTTAAGAAAGTCGAGGAAAATAAAGGTAAATTGGGGCATGTACGAAAAATGTAAGTAACGTCTCCGGAAAGACTTGTTTTCGAACACGGTACCATAATTTGATGTGTATAACATAATTTTTCGCCCCATCGTGTTTTGAAGCAAAATGGTACACGTTTAAGAAAGTCGAGGAAAGTAAGGGTAAATAGGGGCAAATACAAAAAAATGTATGCAACGTCTCCAGAAAGACTTGTTTTTTAACAAGACACCATTATTTGATGTGGATAACATATATTTTATCGCGCCATCGTGTTTTGAAGAAAAATGGTACAAGTTTTAGAAGTCGAGGAAAATAAGGGTAAATAGGGGCATGAACGAAAAACTAAAACAACGTCTCCAGAAAGACTTGTTTTTTAAAACGACACCATTATTTGATGTGAATAATATATATTTATCGCTCCATCGTGTTTTGAAGCAAAATGGTACATGTTTAAGAAAGTCGAGAAAAATAAGGATAAATAGGGGCAAGAACAAAAAATGTAAGCAACGTCTCCGTAACGACTTGTTTTCGAACACAGCACCATTATTTGATGTGGATAACATATATTTACCGCCCCATCGTGTATTAAAGCAAACTGGTACACGTTTAAGAAAGTCGAGGAAAATAAGGGTAAATAGGGGCAATTGCGAAAAATGTAAGCAACGTCTCTGGAAAGACTTTTTTTCGAACACGGCACCTTTATTTGATGTGGATAACATATATTTATCGCCCCATCGTGTTTTGAAGCAAAATGGTACAGGTTTAAGGAAGTCGGGGAAAATAAGGGTAAATAGGGGCAAGTACGAAAAATGTAAGCAACGTCTCCGGAAAGACATGTTTTCGAACACGGCACCAGTTTGATGTGGATAACATATATTTATCGCCCTATCGTGTTT